GCGATTCATCGTGAAACAATCCGTGTCCACCCGGCGTCTACGCGAAAACAATCCCTCTTCATCAAAAAAGTTTAAGATAATTGAAAAAAGATTGAAATTGATTAAGATATTTGAAAAACATGAAAATTTTCAAGATATTTGAATAAAATTGAAATTTTCCGAGGTATTTGAGAAAAAAATTTGATATTTTTCATCAGAAAAAATTGGAGACGAAATCAATAAGAAAAATGATTTCCAGAAAGATTTGAGGTGACTCTTTTCAAACGTATTGGTCGTTGAGAAGGATGGTTTGCGACGTCGGGTGGACGGGTTATTACCGCAAGTGGTAGCAGATATGAGGGGATGGGAAGGGGTGACGTGGGAGTGGGGTGGGGGTGGGGTGGGGTGGAGAGGGAGTTAGAATCAGTTCCAGGCCAATACGGGTGGGATCGGTTGGGATTTGGCCTGGGCTGATCGTGTTGCCTTTTAGTGTTTCATTTATTATATTCATCCAATGGCGGGATGCCATTGGATTCCGCGATTCCTTCAGGAATCGCGTTCGATTGCAGTTTAGTGTTCAATTTATTCAAAACTTCTCATTTCGTTCCTAATATACTAGATTTCAGGTCGACGCAGTTTCGTGAATGGATCCAGTGGACGATGGGGTATGGCGATGGATGTCAATCGAAGAGACAGAAAGAATCGATGGTGGCCAGAAACCAGACAAACCAAGCGATAATAATTCAAGATCTGAGCAAATCCGAGATTCAGAACTCAAAAACCAGTCGATTTAGATGTTCACATAAAGTTTGCTAACATTTTTTGCATAAATCATATGATTGAACGCCATGAACAATGAAAGAAACAATTTCCAAGGTGTCCTCATAACTTTCTAATGTTTTAACTCTGGCTCTGTTCTTTCCGTTATTCTTCCTTGCAGGTTCGTCCGAAACAAAAGAGAAACCGAGGAGTATAAATATCCGAATGAGTCGGATAGACACAGCGATATGCATAAACAATCGATTAATGCTTCCGTTAGTCTTCCCACTCATTAGATATGATTTGAATTGATTGCTTGATAAATCAGTACCTTGTTTTGCTGGAAGTTTAGCTTTGAAATGTAACTGACAGCTTTTCATTTAATATTAAACTGATAGAATATTCCACAGTTTTCACTCCCCAGCAGACAGGTAAAATGATAAACTTTATTAGATACAGGGAATACAAATAGATTTAATCATTTTAAAAACATGTTCATTTT